GCAGTACATACAGCCCAGACTTTTTTTTTAAACCCTATAATCCCTAAAAAATTCTCTTGAAAATCTTGTGTCTTGATAAAAGCTTCTTTTCAGCTCTGGAAACAAAATAGGAGTGCTAAAAAAGCCCCAAAATATGTTCCATTAAGAGTAAGCAGTATATCTTATGAAGCTAGTAAAACAATTTAACATAACCACCCTGATGAAATTTAAAGAGAGAATCTATTTAATTGGTCCAGTTCCAGCCGAAAATTTGAAACTTAACTTCTGGCATTAATTTAAACTCTGAGCCTGAGTTCTGGCAAGCAGAATCACAGGGCTCTTCCGGGAGGACTTGACTGAAAAATTTGAAAGTCAGGGTGTCACAGTAAATTCTGAAGATGTGCTGTCTCTGAGGTGAAATTGCTTGTTTCTTTTCACAGTCAGTCAAGCTCAACAAGCTAGTGATAAATCTTTGTCTCAGGAACTCACGGAAGAAAACTCTTTTTATATTGTTAACTCAATGCTTCTTTCTAAGACTGACATTCCATCTCAGCCCTATGCAATACCCTTTTCACTAATGCATTTTGTGAGTGTACTTATTTCATCACTTTTTTGTCTGTGTTTTTTAACTGAGCAAAGCAATATGTAAACATGCTAATTTAAAAAATTAAGAGGGACAATCTATATCCTTAAAAGAACCTTGAAGTCCAACTTTACAAAATTCTGTGATGCAAATCTGATTCTTCCAGTGAAATAGTGAAATGTTATTTTGGGGAAGAAAAAAAAAAAGAAATACTTTTCAGTACTGAAACTCTGACCTGTACAGAGAAACATATTTTTTCTTTAACTTTTAATGTATTGCAATATTAGCTCAGGATTAGGCTTTGCTTGTGCTTTTTATCCAGGCAAAGTTGTCTGGTAACACAGTTTTTAAAAGGAATTATTTTATTTAGCATATTTAAAGACTAATATCTACAAATAATGCACATACTGGAGAAATCATTCCTGTAGGTTCCCCAAACAAGCATATTCTGTATTAGTCTGTCACAGGGAAAAAACAAAAAGACATAAGGATGGTTGGCATTTCTTACTATCCTGCCTAAATACATTTGCTAAACAGTAACTTGAGTTCCTGAGACTAGAAACTGGTTATGTAAAAGTTGTCATCCTTACAAACTTGTGGTTTGTAATTTCAACACTTGGCACCTCTGAAGAAAGACCTAAAACTTGCTACAGGTGGATGCCTTCTAATCACTAGGGGTGACATAACCAACTTTGATCAAGCATATAGAGAGCCTGGCATCTCTGCAGACCTTTCTTGGAGCTAATGAATTCTTGGCTAAATCTCATGTAGAGAACTCCTTTGTAGACATCTATATTTAGGGGTCTGAATTTTAATTCCACTTTTAAAAGTGTAGTAACTATGTTGTTCAAATTACTTTTTTGGGGCAACTCTTTCAGCCATTTAATTATGCAACTGCTCCTAAGTTTTGTCTAAGGTGATGTACATCCCTATGGAAAGCAATCTGTGGAGAGTCTCTGATACAGAAGAGGAATACTACAGACAAAGTAGCTGCTTAGATGTTTTGATGCAGAACCTAAACCTTAAAACGAGTGTGAGACCTAAAATGAAATTTTTAAGACATCCAGTAAATGTATATAAAGAATTTTTACTTTTTTCCCCTGAGGTTTTTCAGTTTAGGTTTTTGAGATTTTTTTTTCCCCTTCTCAGTACTAAAAGAATAAGGAGCTGATAATTTATAACTGTTTCTGGTGACATATGGCTCTGCATGGCTGATAATGTCCTAGATAGCTAAGGAAATAGAGCCAAAATATGTTTTGTGCACTGATGTTTCATAAATGCAAACAGATTAATAACATTTTATCTTTGTCAGTTTTTATTAGTATTAAATGAACAAACCACATACATTTCTTTATATCTAAAATAATTCATGCAAGAAATTAAACATTTTAAGCAAATGTCCATGTTGTGAAAATAATGTGTAAAATTAAACCTGGTTAAATATTAAGTGTATGCAATTCCTTCTTTACCCATATGTCTCATGCTCTAATGAATAACCAATTTTATTTTTGCTCTGCCATGAGCACAGATACAGGTGATGTCTGTATCCATCTTGGTTGTGAACACATGGATTACAGAGCACTTTTTCCCAAGTCTCTGTACTCTCAAATGAACACCATATAAAACCAAACAAATGGTAAAACACAAGATTTCCAGATGACTCAGTGTATTTATTCTCTTGGAAGTAAAGATAAATAACAGGAAACTCTGTTTTCCTCTCCATATTTTCAATTTGAGTCCATAAGGCAGCTAATTTATAGCACACATAAGTCTTTTCTAGAAAGGGTGTTTTGCAATTTTCAGTTTGTTTTTTTTTTTTCCCCTGGTCCTTTATAGAACTATGACATTCAGCATAGATTATAAAGAAAGTAAGCTTTTTGTGAATAGTTTAATTTTATCTTGTGAAGTTCCAGACCTCTATTAAATGCTTTTAGAGAAAAATACATATATTGGAAAAATATATAACTGTGCAGTTAGCAAGATTCATTCCTTTTTTATTAATTTTTTCAAAGATCAAAGTAATTTTATTCCAGAATGCTGAGCACTTTGAGTGCATATTAAGACACTTGACCCTCTCAGCCAAGTTTCTGCTTGGTATAATTAACTGAAGTCATTCAAGATTCATTTTGATTAATCTCATAGGGTTCTGATAATTGTTTATAAATAGGTAGAAGAAGAACTGACTGTCTGGAAAAAGCTCAAAACACTCAAAGTAGAACTATATGCTTTCTTCAGAAAAAAAAAAAAATCACTTGGAAAACATTTTCTAGTTGTCAGTGTTTGGGAAGGCATCTAAACTTATTTTTCAATACATTCCATAAGAATAACACTTAGCACTACTAGAGTAACCTTCAGTTTTCCTTCTTCTAACTTTTTCATCCATAAATTAGCAATCTGAATGTCATTTTCATGCATATTGTACATCAAATGTCAAAAATATGTCAATACAAGATTTGAATAAGTATTTTTGTTTTAAATGAACAGATGTCACACATGTTGCATTTTCCCTAAACTGAGGATGCTAACTTCAGAAAAAAAGATTCTGAGAATTTAGGACTGCTCCTTATGTTATAAATGAATTAAAATTATGTCATTTTAAATGTCATATTTAATACTAAAAATTTGTAATTTTAAGAAATGCCATACTTAGATTATCTTCTTTACACTGCCACTCTAGTAGAAACTAAATCTAAATAAAAAAATGTCTTAAATCTCAACAGCTGTATATTATAATTAAATGCAAAATTAGTTAAACTCTCATTCAAAATGATTGGTTTGCAACATCAGAGAGATTTAAACTATCTGCTAAAATTGCAGCTGTTGAAAATACATCTTTATACATTAATACATATGTATTTTCAGGTTTAAGTAACCACAGAATTTCCCAGATTTGTCTTTTAGCATTAAATCGCAGTTTGAATTTATTTTACTAATACCTTGTTAGGTTTGTTCTGTTGTACCCCCATGCTCTCCCTAAGATGGTTTACACCTGGGTTTTACCCTCCCTCAAAGCTGCCCCTCATGCCATTCCCTGCCCCTTGTTCCAGCTCTTTCCCTGCCTGTCAAGGCAACCCAGCCCTTGATTCCCAATCCTTTGCCACCACTTAAACCTTGGCCCAATCCCTGACTGCCACAGCCTTTTGTAATTCCGCTTCTCCTTGAAGCACCATTGGCCCATGTGACCTATACTCTCCACCCGCCTACCCCAACTGGCCCCAGACACTTGATGTAATCCCCTCTCTCCTCCCCTGAGGATTCCCATTGATTAGCTGTTTGTATCCACCCCCTGACTTGTACAAAACCCCTTAGACAATACACCTAAGGGCTTTTTGTCCTGTTGCCTTCGCCTGGAATAATCTGTTCTTTGTGGAACTTTAAGACAGAGAGCCTCCTCCTTTCTCTTCTGCCTGGTCCCTGTCATGGCTTGTGTCTGGCACCGTAGAGCAAGTGCCTCTAAAGTTTCTGCCTGTAGTAAATCGCCATACCAGCAGTTCCCCACTCCTGGCGTGGTGCTGGAGTTCTAAGAGCTAGCCTGGGTTTCAGCAGTTGCTTCAGGATAAATTTCATTTTTTAACCCCTACACTAATATTGTCTGTTTTAAATCTTGATTCCAGCTTACCACAACCTTGGTTGTGTTTTCCATTTTTTAGTGAAGAGTGATTTGTTTATTTTACATATATATATTTCAATATTATTTACATGTTTAACTATTGCATTTGTATATGAATATACATTTTAATAGAACACAGGCACATTAATTCAGCATTATCTGTGCAAGGTTGCTGAAAATCAGAATTACTTTTGTTTGTGGCTAAAACCACAGACTTCCAAAGAACAATAATTGGAAGCACAGAATTACTGTGTTCAGAGAAGATACGAATCTCTGAGAGCTAAGCAGTGACATCTTCTCTCTTTATATGACAGAGATGCCATTGGTGGCAAATTGCTGCAGAGCAAAGCCGCCTGCTTCAAAGGGTTTGTCAGACCATCATGGGACTTGCTGAACATGGACTGAAATAATAACCTAGACATTATTGACTCAGAACTAGTTAGGATCACCAGGAAATCCCATTTCATTTTGTAATAAATGCAACACAAACATACATGTGCTGGTCCCGACCTCACATGACCTGCTAGACACTGCTTAGCTACCAGTGCGCAATTAGATTGAAGGTGAAATTCAACATTGCTAGCTCTTGTCATGGGGTTCCTAGGAATGTCCAGGTTACATTTCGGAATTACTGTACATGTAAAGACAGCATTATTTGGTATTGCTGGTGATTTTAAAAATAGCTAGCACCTTTGATAGCACCTGAAACTACCTCAGATAAACCTTACATCTACAAGGAACTGAGAAATACATTTTGTTTTCTAAAGATACAAAAATGTGTAAGCTTTTGTAAAACAGAAGCAAAACAGACAGTATGGAAAAGTATTGTTTTCTTTTTGATATTTGCTTGCAATTAAATTTATTGTAATATCAAGTGTTTCCCACCATTTCACCAAAGAGTACAATGGTCATGATGAAAAGATGCTGAAGAAACCTATCTTTCTTTGTTTGCAGTCTGATAGGCAAAACCACGGTACTAATGACCACCAAATTCTTGCTATTTATCTCATCTTTCACTTCTAATTCTTATGGACAGTTTTGTTATTTTTTCAGGGTACTGGGAGGCTCAGGGAATGCAGCTGTCCAAAAGGAGCAAGTTCATTCAGTCACAGTAGAATGTGGAATTTTAGTTGAGGCATTTGATGTACAAAGTGGAATAGAAATTACAGTTGATGAGATTCCGTTTGCAATCCTCACACTTGTGAGACTGACAAGACAATTCCCTCTCTGTCTGTCATGAATCCTATAACTTGTCTCTGTGTGGCTTATAATTCTGCTGTGCAGCTGCTCAAGGGAAGAACCACTGGAGGTGTAAACACTTCACATACATTTTATTCTCATGGTACATTAATTGAAGTTTCAGAACAGAATTGCATAACACAATACTGAAAATGCTATTGCTGTTCCTGTTTTTTAGGTTTTTACCGATACTGCTGCCCCAGCAGTATTCAATAAGAATGACAGATTACTTAACTATGAAAAAAATAGACCAGTTCTTCTTTAACATTTATTATAGAATCATAAGATCATAGAGTAGTTTGGGCTGGGAGAGATCTTAATGATCATCTAGTTCCAAGCACTCTGCCAGAGGTGGTGAGACCTTCTAAAGACCAAGTTTCTCAGAGACTCATCCAACCCAGCCTTGAACACTTCCAGGGATCATCCCTGGAACAGATGTGGATGATTCCAGATCACAGCTTTGATGGGCAAGTTGTTCCACTGTTTTACTACTCTCATCTCTAGCCTAAATATATCCTCTTTCAACTGAAAACCATTCCCTGTTGTCGTACCTTTACATGTCCTTCTGAAAAGTCCCTCTGCAGCTTTATTATAAGCTATGTTTTAGGTACTGGAAAGCTGCTATAGTCTCCTTAGAATCTTCTCTAGGCTGTACAATCCCAAATCTCAGCCTGTCTGCATAACAGGGATAGTCCAGCTCTTTGAGCATCTTTGTGGCCCTCCTCTGGATGTGCTCCAGCAGATCCATGTCCTCACATTGAGGATCCCATAGTTGGATGCAGTACTCCAGGAGGGGTCTCACAGGAGCAGAGCAGAGGACGAGAATCAACCTCCCTCAACCTGCTGGCTACATATCTTTTGATGCATTCCAAGATGTACTTGGCTTTTCAGACTGCAAGCGCCCATTTCCAGGTGATGCTGGAAAATACAGACAGATAAGGATTTTATCTTCAGTGCAAATACTGTTTTTTTTTTTTTTTTTTTAAGAAATACTAAATGTCAAATATTTTCAGAGTAAAATTTGGAAGAAAATGCTTTTCAGAGGAATTAAAAACTTTCTAGTTGTTATGACAGGTGTTTTAAAGTGAAAAGTTAAAGAAAAAAATAAACTTTATTAAAAGTCAAAGTATTAACAAAATGCCAACATTTCTGCAATTCTTTTTTGCCCTTAAAAAACCAAACAAACTAAACCAACAAACCAAACAAAACCCTCTTGATAAAATATATTTCACTCTTAACTGTTTCGATTTCAGTAAGCCAGAACTTCTAACCAGATAAAATATTTTGCAGTCCATGAACTGTCGGTTTTCTCTCACCTAAAGGATATATAATAAATCAGTCAACTAAAATATGTAAGAAGACAAGAGTATCATGTTTCAGGGCAAAAAGCAGCCTTTCAGAGATGCATTTTAGGGAGAGAATTACTTCTCTCCGGTTATTTCGTAAGCCCATCTTTTAAACACAGGCAATCTCTACGAGATAACAAACTTCAGGGGAAATTACTGCTGTGCTGCTGAATTTAGCTGGAGCAAAAAGCCTGGAAAGTAATGCCTCCTGCTGATATAACACCCTCCTGCAGTGGCCCCGATTGAACTGATGTGCTACACATACATTAAGCAACCTCCTCTGGGACCTCATAGGGGACAGTTAGTGATCATCGTGTTCCACCTTGGCAGAGGTACTTTTACTGAGGTGATCTCAAAAGCACATGAGGGCAGAACACCCATGTCCTCAGACTTGTCAGAATGTGGGCTCTTGGACCTAGTTTTCATCTGAGTTTCACTTGATAGACATAGAACCTTTTTCTGGGTCCATCTCTGAAGTATGCCTTTAAACTAAAGTTAGAACTTAAAACTACTGTCCTTACTCAGGCAACTTTCCAGACAGTTTAGAGTTGGGGAGTTCTATGCCAACAGTATTTACTCTGACCTTTCAATGAGCTGTAAGTAATACATTTGGCCTCATGTGATCCAGTGTAATGGTGTTATTTTTGCATTGAAGGAATGGTTTTAAAGTCTTGTCCCTTTGATTTACATGAAAAACTCTAACTTAAATGGTTTATAAAACATTTTTTAAAAGCCTGTTCTTGCAGACACATTTTCCTTTACTATTTAAAATCAGACAACCTGTGTAACTGAAAAGAGAGAAAGAATATTCAATTATGGGTTTTCAATGGAAGACCCTTCAGTCGTTTTCCTTTTATTTTACTTTTTAAAGACAAATTCATTACTTCAGATTTGTCCATAATACTAGAAAACACTGTTATTTTTACTTATTCTTCTATCTGCAATATAAAGAAAATTATTTGAACATGGTCTTTTGGAAAAATTAGACTCATTGAATGATATCACTGTACCTGTAACTATATCAGTCAGCCCTGGTTTGTATTATTAATCCATTTCTATATAAAATACCTTTATTTTTTTGAACAGTGTCTAATTCTATTATAAATCCAAGGAAATAATTCTGTCAGACCTTATGTTATTCCTCTAACATATGCTTGGAAAATATTTTTTATAGGTCTTCACTGCTATTTCCATATAAGGCCTTTTGTCTCAGAATAAGCAGCTGGTTCAAAAGAAAATATGAAGATTTTTAGCGGTTACTGATGGTTTGAGCAAGCACTGACCCCTGGGTAACATGAATAAACAGTGGAGCTGAGAACAAAAGGAGTCCTTAGACTACTATTAACTCACAGTAATAAGGCAGACATGATGTACTGGGGTCAGTACAAGTCTCATTTGTAGATAAGCCGTAAAGAGAAATCATTCCATCACCAAAGAAAGGTCAATGGTTAAAGTCTGATATGATTGTTTTAAACTAATCTTCCAGTGACAAAATTCTGAACTATGAAGGAATTCTTCAATTTCAGGAATATATTTCAGGGTCTTTTTTAATGGCACTTCATGCTTCTAGATGCCCTTAGCAAAGAAAAATTTTTGGGAAAGTTTTGGATGAAAGGAAGGAAAGGCAATACTCAATTTCATTTCTAAAGTAGTCAAAGTAAAGTTTACATATAATCTTTATAATCTTCTGTCACCAAATCTTTTGGAAAACAATATCTTTTTGTCTAGCATAACTCATTTCAATATAAACATGAAGTATAAGGAGGAAAAATATTTTTATTAAATTATTTTAACAAGTTATGGAGATATTTAGAATACCACAAATAAAATTAAATAAGGTCACATTTCCTTACTTGGACTTGATTCTTCAGTCATATTTTTGTTCTGATGTGATTTTTTTTTTTTAACACAACTTTGGGCTGAGAATGTTATCGTTGAGGAAAAGAAGAAATAATTAAAGAGCCTGTAAACCACTCTCAAATTCCTTCCAATCAGAAGGTGACAGTTGAATATTTGGAAAAAAAAATGTACCGCTGTTGGTTTAACTATGCTTACATTTTTCTGTTGCAGCTGCTATACAACACAAGGACGAAACATCCTTGGGCTAACACAGCATACCTACCTTGACTTTTCCTATGCAGCAATCTTGGAGAAAGTTCCCCCGCTTTTGCAAACCAGAATGTGTTAGTGAAGATCCTATGGCTGAATCTCATTTCAGCGCTTTTTTTAAGCCTCAAAAAAAAAAAATGCTGATCAGCTTCGTGGATAGTCAAATACTCATTAATAATATAGATATAAAGGCTGTAGCAAGAGAGATGAATCCCTAGCTTGATAGTAGGAGAAATATCAAAAGGGAATGGAGGAGTGTCTTCCCCATTACACTTCTGACAAAGTGCATAAGACTTTTTGAACATGATCCAACACCTTTCTACTGTAATTTACAGAAATTATATTGACACAGGTGTTTTGGCCCCCTTAGAAGGCAGTGAAAAAACTCTTCCAGGGAATATCCTGTTCTGTTCTTAAAAGTGTACAAAATAAGTGAAATAAACCATAGGAATTCCTGATTTGCATCAAGTTATGGATGAACAGTTTGTGAGAGGAATTTATTTAGTGCCACTTCAAAAATCAATAGAAATGCCATGTATTTGAAATCACTAAATAAAATAAGACTTTAGGTAATTAGATAGTAAAAGCATTGAATGAGGTAGTGCAGCTGGTATATGAATTGTAAAATCCTAATTTCGGAGCTTTCATGAGTTTTTACCAGGCCATGCTATCTTATCAATAATGCTTATTGTTTTTCAGATGATGACAAATATATTTTATTTTAATGTGCACAATTTCATTTCATTTTTGCTTTTCTATACAAATGTGACAATCTCCCTCTTATTTCTCTTAAGTCTGGGACCTCATTCACACTTCTACTCATTTATTGTAATTGCTCAATTCTATTGAGAAACAGGAAGAGATATTGGAAAATTAACTGAAAGCTTCGTATTCAGATGTCTGCTTTTTATGATCCTGCAACTCTGTTGGCAATGTTCTCACTGGCTAGACTGTTTGAACTTTGTGTCATTTGCTTATGATCAAACCTGCTTACTTTTATAGTTTGGCATGATATCAACATTAACACTGGTTTGAAAATCTTCTAAAACCTTTCACTCATCAAATGCATGTTAATCATTCCAGGGCTTGTACATGGCAGCTTTTGTGTTTTACTACAAAAAAGCTACTTGTCAAAACTACTGGCACCTCAGAAGCCTAAAAGAAAAGAGCATGTTAAACTACTAAGTCCTGGCCTTACCTTGACCCCCCTCTGTTCTCCAGAGTTATATATTAAAACTGTTAAAAGCTTGATGCTAATTAATTCAGAATCTTAATAATTCTGCCTATTCAGAAGATTCACTAAAGCAAAAGTTCTAAATAATTATGTTCTGAGGACATAATTATAACTCCAGCAATAAGTTCTACAAAATCATTCATTTGACTTTTTTTTCCCCTCAGTAGTATTTTTAATGGACAATTAAAAAATTTCTAATGGTAAATTAAAAATCAGAGCCTAAAAGCATATTTTATGAAATGGGAATTATTTGATTTGGCTGAAGCCTCCAGATGAATTTGATGTAATTTTCTCTTCTTCTAAAATCAGTTAAGAGTATGGACTGCATGAGGATAAACATCATAGCTTTACTTTGTTGAACAAAAGAAAAAAAGTACTTTTCCCCAACTCACTTCAAATAAACATCTCTAAGGTTAACATGCTCTGGAATGAATTAAGGGAGAATCTAAGCTGCTTGTACCCTTTCAAGCAAAGAACTGTAGCACTAATAAGGACTAGGCGAAGACTGAACCTAAATCAGATGCCAAGAATTATTTAGCTTTGTCTCAAGCTATTCAACATCTGAAGGATGAATCAAAAATATAAGATAATGAGCAGGGCAAGACTGAGAACTGCTTTCTTATTACATCCTTTCTCCTCTTCATTGTAAAACTAGTAAACTTCTGAGCATTGCCTGAAATGTAGCTTTTAAACCTCAAGAACTATTACAACATAAGAACTTCAATTACAACATAGATGCTCTTAGCCTGTGCTTCAGTAGTTGAGGATGATGCCTTGCATAAAAAATTTGATTGATGGACTGAGCATGGTCAGTCATAAGGGTAGGACTGCTCAACAGGTTGTTGGAGGCCTGCACCATATTTCTCATTATGGCTGTGTGTGAGGGTTGACAAACCTAACATTATATAACTTCAGGAATTCAGAGCAGAGTTTTCAAAGATAGGCACTAATAACTTGAGCTTCATGGAGGAGTTTCTCTATGCCTTTTTAAATTAAGCAAAGGAGAAGCAGTCCCTAATGGTGTTATGCATGATAATCAAATTTCCTGGTTAAAATGTACTCACCCAGAGGTCACATCTCAAGCTCTCAAATCTTGTTGCAGAGCTCTGCAGTATTGCTTGTCTTCTCAGCAGAGGTCTGCTGCTTTGGAGGATAAGGAAACATTTACATAAGAATGTTATACAACTCCACAGTTTAAAAAAATTCAACAATTTATGACTGACAATGACAAAGAAGAAGCAAGATACAAAGAAAGCAGCAGTACCACTGCAAACCAAGTACAAGACTGCAATTCCAGTGGGTTTTGCTTTTTTGTTTTCCCCCAGATATGTAGATAATTGGAGAAAAGGGGCTTCTGCTAGCTTATTTTGTGGTGCACTTCTCCTTACCTGAGAGGAAGGCACTTCTATAGTATAGGTTTTTAATATAAAAATATGCTTATTAAATAATTGAAAGGGTGCATACCAAATCCCCTAACTTAATTAAAATGTAGATAAGTTTCTATTTTACTGACACAAAGGCATTTCTGTGTTCCTGTAGTCATTACTTAATGCTCATGTCACTTAACCTACATTAGATGTTTAACTTTGTGGTTCTGGGGCTGACTTCAGTTTTAAGAAAAAAACAAGACAGAACTTGCATGAGCTATTTTATTAGAAAATAATTTCTCCTCTCTTACAAAGTTTTTTTCTCAGCTATGTGTTCTCTTTCAGGCGTACAGAAAACAAAAATCTAAATTATGGTCACAGTGAGATCACCATACCATGATCTTTGCTCTCAATTGCCCTGTTGTTTCATGACTTACAAGAGGAATGCCTCAGTTGTCAGTGCCTCTTGGGCTTGCCCAAGTGGCGTGTGAATTTCTAGCTAAACTGTGCAGTGATTTTTTCCTGTATCTGTTAGCACCAGATCAAGAACAGTCGGCAAAGAGCATTTCCAGGCACATTAGCTAATCTGTGACTCTGTAGTGAAACAAGTCTCAGCTATGGCTGTTTTGCTGGAGTCACACAAAGATACTGTACCAGAGGTAATTCAGTTCAGTGTGTAAACAGGCTGATGTCAGTAACAGAAACTGAATAAAGCCATTACTTCATGGCTCCTCATTTAGTCATTACTTAAACTCCAGCAGAAAGATTTTTTTGAAATTCAATATACAGTTTCCTGCTCTTTTGATCTAAAAGAGGAAAGTGAGCTCTTTTCAAAGAGCCAATGTTTAAAAGAACATAGGAATGAACATTTTACAACTGTAAACTGCAAGCATGTAAATTACTGGGAGTAGTTCCTGCCTTTGTTGCTGGTGATAAAATGAGAGCTTTGTTTAGCTGGAGGCACAGTGATTGATAAGTTCCCCTGGTGGTTTTATGGGGTTCTCATTTGTTTTTAGAGGGCTGTTTGTAGTTTGGTGTGGGGATATTTTGGCGCTTTTTAAAATTCAATTTTCTCTTATTTTTTAGTTCATTTGCTTTAATTTTAAACCCAGATTAAGCTTTAAATATAGAACCCAAATTCAGTGGTTTTAATTATTTTGTAACAAAGTCTCACATAGCTTCTACCTTAAAATTTGATCACACAGGCTTATTTCCACATTACTTTCTATGATTTTTCAGTAAACATCAGATATCCTATTGTTTCTAATCTGGAAAGACTGGTATCCAAAATGTGTCATTCATTTGAATGAATTAATCAGAGCTTGAAAAATGTATGAAATTTAAAAGAGTTAATTTTTTTGAGGATATGATCTAGATTAGATTAAATTATGACTACTGAAAGTACATTTATTGGACTTCAGAGTAGAAAAATGAAATGCAAATAGAGGAAATATTTTAGGATTTTCAGGCTTTCCAGTGTTTTTAAAGGTACATTTAAACAGTTTTCACGATGGCTTTTTCATCAGCTTCATTATGACAAACAACCTTTTGATAGTTATCAACCTAGAATTAAGTATATTATACCAAAAAGATAAACTCTAAAAAAAAAATTACTTTGATTCAGAATTGTAGGTCATGCTAGCAGGAGCAGTGGCTAAGAAGACTATTCAATTAATACATTCTTATGAACATTTCTGATAAAGTGGGATTAAAGATAGTAGAGAAGAGGATGATTGAAAAAATCCATTACAGTTATTTATGACAGAAAGGAGAATACAAACTCTAGGGATTTGGGAAAGAGGACTTAGAATTATTGAGATAAGTGTGAATAGAAAAGTAACTGAAAATCATTCCTCCAAGGCACTGGTTATATATATGCATGTTATGTATTTACTTCCTGGTCATCTCATTTAAGAGGTTGCCTTTAGTATTGTTTGCCAGGTATATTCTCATTTCTTCTGTAGCTCTAGAGATTGCTGTTTAAATGATATGTAGTTTGCAATAATTTTTTTTCTGAGGTAAAATAGGTAACACTAGAGGTCACAGATATCTCCAAAACACAGAAAATACTGACATCCTTCGGCTCTCGATGTTTAATAAACTCACTAGGTCTTTCCCTGTTGATCTGGAACTTCTCCAATGCTTTCATACCTATCTAGATTAAGTTGTCTGGCTCTCAGGTGAACCATAAAATGATCCAGAAAGTAAACAAAATATTGTTCTTCTCTTATGGCATCTGTTTTCAGATAAAATCTGTATACACCTCATTTATACTGACTGGGTTGCATATTGAATAAAATATGTTCTTAAAAATACTTGGATGCATCTTTTTCTGAATAGAGCAACTGAAAGAAGAGTAGATTATACCCCTTTTTACAGTTTACAGCTATGGTTTTTGGCCAAGGGTAAGGAACTTTAATTAGATGCCATCTCTGGTGCATACAGCTTAAATATAAAACTGCTCCCTTACACCAGAGTCTATATCAGCTGTTATTAATTAGGATCTAAGTGGGATATGAGAGGAACCTACAGCTAAATATTGTTATGGAAAAATAAGTACAGTTTCACAGAGTCACTGGGAGTTTGAAAGACAGCAGGCTTGTACTTGTGCTGTTTCCTGCAGAGAAAATAATTTTGGCCCCTTCTAGCAGGGTTGCCTTAGTCTGGGGAGGCGTGGGGGCAGGCTGTGCCTTTTTTTTAATTTATAAAAAGCTGAATTTATATAGTGTTTTGTTACCTGGGTTTCCTGTTGCAGCTTGTTTACTTCTTGTGGACCATATACTTGAGGTGAAGATTTAGGCATGTATCTTTATCTGAAGCATCTCTTTCCCTGAGCAATTTAGTGTAGATTGTGCATGATTTTTCTCCTTCTACTGTGCTTCCTCTGCTGTGACAGATGACTTGGGGTTTGTTTGTTTCACTGATTGGAATGAATAGGATTACTAAATACCCCTACAAATAAAGACAAATGATGAAAAATTGAACAACATAAAATTCTTATTCCTGGTTCAGTGGAAACACAGAAATTCAGATGCTCCTGCCTTTAGAAACTGTTGTACTGACTTGGCTTCTCTTATGCATTAACTTAGGATCTTTATTTCTAAAAGTATCAACTTGATAACCATAATTCTATCTGCTTTCTTCATCCAGTGTTATGAACAAACCAGCCTTGCTGGGACACTGCTGGGCTTGAGCTAAGTACAGATATTGAAATGTTAATTAGCTAACTGCTCCTGGGAATCACCTACACCCCCCACCCACACTGCCATTCTAGGACTGGGATGCAAAATGGAGGGACCAGTGGAATCATCGGAGGGGGTTTTGGGGATGAAAACACCCCTAAATGGAAGGCTGAGCACAGTGGAGGGGGCTGGATGGGTGTGCTGGTTGGGGAAAAGGGAACCGCATCCCTAGTCTATGTGTGACTTGTCACCATAGCCTCCAGAGGACTGTACTGGACTGGGCTGTGGGAAGCAGGAACAAAGAAGCAACTCTTCCTGGGGTTACAGGAGGGAAGGAGAGGGATAGCTGCTGCTGTACTTCAGCAATCAGGCTCTGCACATCCCTCACCCTTCAGCTACCAGTGTGCCAGGAGGAAAGGAGAGAGGACAGACTGCTGATCGGGAGTTCAGATACAGACTGCACATCCTTCACCTCCGGCTACCAGTGTGCCACGGAGACTCCAGGGACAGACTCTGCACATCTTCTCCCCCTTCGGCTACCTGGAAAAAGCTACAACAGCGGGGGCGAGCCCCACGTCAAGCCCCCTGCCCAGCTATTCTTTTTAATAAAGAGCTGAACATGAATAAAGGCATAAGCCCTGTTCGTTTCCTCCAGCACTAGTAAATAAGTCAACTTTGTACGCAGGGGAATGGACCTGATCAACAAAGTCAGTTGTCATTAATATCAGGGACAAGTCGGACAGCTTAAGCGCCGTAACAGCTTACTGCAGAGTCAAAACATTGGGCTTAGTTTAACTTTGGCAGTGTAGGAGGAAGAGGGGAAAATAAAAGTCCATGAGCAAGGAAACTGAAGAAGCTGTCTGACGGCTGCAGATTGCTGGCACTGATCCTTCCCTTGCTCAGGTCTGGCGCTGCCGCCCACCCCACTCCTCACCTGCGTGGCAAGGCAAGCTGCAGCGTGCGCGGGGCTGGCTGGGAGCGGCGCCAGCATCCTCGGCTGCTGCTGCTCACAACAGGGTCAAGTAGGAGCCGCCTCTCGTTTGATGGGACATTGATTTGGATCCCTGCCCTCCAGCCAACCGCCAAGTTTCCCAAACCTGTTGGGAAGTGCCTTATCTCTAAGACTCGGTGCTGTTCTGTCAGCTTTAGTTAATGAGCCATCAGATTCAGAAGTTACTGATGTAAGACAGATAGACAGCTGGAAAAGTATGGTGTTTGCACAAGCAAAGCTTCTTTAGAAAAACAGGCTAGTGCAAACTTAAGAATTAAATTAAATTAAAAAAGAAATCTAAGACAAGTGAACTGACAGCAACAGAAACACCACCTAAAAAAGAATAGATCTGGAGAAAAAGAAAGCTGGAAAAGAGATATTAAAAGAAAGAGGAACCAACAAAGATTTCAAAGCAGGAAAAGGATACAAAATAGGAATAAATATAGACAACAAAAGAAGAGAAAAAATAGAACCTTAGCTAGACTAGGGATTAAATATGAAAAAGAACAAAAAAGAACATAAAGAACAAAAAGAACAGAATTAAAGGAAAGCAAAAGTAAGAAAAAGGTGTGAGCTAAAACTGAGGATGGACAGTTCAAAT